GAGCTATTTTCACAGATGATAAAGTCTATTGGTGGTTGATTTGGGCGAAAAATTTTAGGAGGGCATTTTCGTAAATTTTGGCAATTTTATCGAAAAACCATTTTACTTGGATTTTAAAGGCTACAGAAAACGGATTCGGCTTGAGGCTATTCTTCACTATTGTTTAAGTCTATTAAGCACAGATTTGGGATAAAAACATTTCTGGGACCATTTTTGACAGATTCCAAAGGGGTTACCATCATAGATTTCACACAGTTTTAGAAAGATCATTTTCCTTAAATTTTGAAGGCTACATATCAAATATTTGGGCAGAGGCTATTCTCCACCGTTGATTAAGTCTATTAAGCAACAATTTGGGCGGATTTTTTCCTGGGCCATTTTTTCAGATTCGAAACGAGTACCATCACAGATTTTTGGCGATTTTTAGAAAGACTATTTTCCTTGTATTTTGAATGCAACAAATCACGGATTTCCCCTGTGACGATTCTTCACCGATGATAAAGTCTATTGGTGGCCGATTTAGGCGGAAAATTTTTGGAGGACATTTTTGTAATTTTTTCAAAAAGCCATTTTACTGGGATATTTAAAAGCTACAACTCACTGACTCGTTCTGAAGCTATTCTTCACAGTAAATTAAGTCTATTAAGCACCGATTTGGGCAAATTTTTTCAGGGGCCATTTTTGGCTGATTCCAAAGGGGTACCATCACAGATATTGGTTGATTTTTAGGAATATCATTTTCCTTGGATTTTGAAAATTACACATATCACAGATTTGACCTGAGACTATTCTTCACCATTGATTAAGTCTATTAAGCACCGATTTGAACTGATTGTTTCCATGACCATTTTTGGTAGATTCCAAAGTGGTATCATCACAGATTTCCGCTAATTTTTAGAAAAACCTTTTTTATAATGAAAAAGATTGTATAGAGTTGCGTTTAGAAAAGTTATTTTCCTCGGATTTTGAAGGCTATAGATCACGGATTCGCCATGGGGCTATTCTCGATGATAAAGTCTATTGGTGGCCATTTTGGTCAAACATTTTCATAGGGCATTTTTCGTATTTTTTTGTGATTTTTTTGAAAAGCCATTTTACTTGGATTTTGATGGCTACCGATCCTGAATTCGCCCTGAGGCTATTCTTCCACGTTGATTAAGTCTATTAAGCACCGATTTCGACGAATTTTTTTTTTGTGGCCATTTTTGTCAGATTCCATGGGGTACCATCATATAATTGGTGCGATTTTTATTAATGTCATTCTCTTTAAATTTTGAAGGCTACACAACACATATTCGGCTTGAGGCTATTATTCACCGTAAATTAAGTCTATTAAGCAGTATTTGAGGGGATTTTTTCTTGTGCCATTTTTGGCGGATTCCAAAGCGGTATATCACAAATTTTGAGCAATTTTTAGAATGGCCATACTACTTTGATTTTGAAGCCTACATATCACAGATTCGGCAAGAGGCTATTCTCCATCGTTGATTAAGTCTATAAGCATCGATTTAGACGAATTTTTTACATCACAAAATTTTGAGATTTTCAAAAGGGGTACCATCACAGATTTCAGGTGATTTTTCGACATACTATTTTCCATGGTTACAGATCACAGATTCTATCAGGGGCTATTCTCCACCGATGATAAAGTCTAATGGTGGCCGATTTTGGCAGGAAATTTTCGGAGGCCATTTTCGAAAAAAAATTGCGATTTTTTTGAAAAACCATTTTACTTAGATTTTGAAGGCGTCAGATCACGGATTCACCCTGATGTTATTTTTCATAGTTGATTAAGTCTATTAAGCACCGATTTGGGCGAATTTTTTTCAGGGCCATTTTTGTTAGATTCCAAAGGGGTACCATCACAGATTTCTGGTGATTTTTAGAAAAAATATTTTCATTGCAATTTTAAGGCTACATATCAAAGATTTGGTTTAAGGCTATTTTTCACCGTAAATTAAGTCTTTTTTTTACGGGGAACCTGTGAAATATATTAATCAGAGGTTGCTGCTACATCGTCCAGTTTTAGTTGATCAACAATAAATACTGGAGGTCTATCTAACTAGACCTGACGTTCCTCCCAGTTCGTCATAGAGTGTGCCACCTTATGCACTACCTCTTTAGCTTCCCGCTTTATATGCTTGTAATTGCCACCTCCAAGCTCCATCATCATACGTCTGATGCTCCTGCAAAGGACTCTAATTTCCGTTTCTATATGAAAATCGCTCTGCATCTTCTGAATCAAGGAGAGACAATCGCTTTCCAATACATGGTTTGAGACTTGCAAGAGGGATGCCATTTGCAGATCCAGTCCTGCTGCAAGTGTCTCTGCAAATTCCGGCTCCCATTGCCCTTTAATTCGCTTTGCCACAGCTAAAAGAAACCAGCCATCGCTGCCTCATATCACCACGTCGAGCCCTGCACCGCCCTCGGGGAAAATTGTTGCATCCGTGGTGACAGAATGATGGCTAGAGGCAGGCCTTTTCCAAGACGTAAAGGCCGGTTGCAAAGGTGGTATATCTTCAGCTTCTTGGTGTTGTTTATAGTCATGCAAAAAGAAATGAGCTCTAGCTACTATCTCGTTCTCTTCGAGCTTTATGCCATTGAACATGTGGGCATTTCGCTCTTCCCATAAGAACCATAGGAGTACTGCCCATTCCTCAAGAATAGTATCATCCACGACATTCATCACTGCCGAAATCCATTTGTAACAGTCACCCTGCGGCCGCATTTCAAAGCAAGGTTTAAGATCAGAGGCTCGCCAGATTCGTTTACTCTAATAACACTCACCGAAACGGTGGATATGTGTCTCCCTTAGATCGCAATAGGGACATTTATCCCCCCATCTCTTGCTCTTCACACTTATATGATCACCCGTAGGTAAGGTTTCACGTGCAAATCTCCATAAAAATTGCCTAACTTTTGGTTGAATCTGGAGACCCCATTACATTTTCCATACCTTTGCCTCCCCGTAAGATGAGAGGCCCGCGGAAACCATATACTGCTGGTACCATTTGGCATAGCCATTTTTATCTGAGTATTCCCCCATTTTGTTTCCATGCCATATAAGCTTATCCGTTTCACCATGACCACGAAGAGGGATTTGACAAACAACCTCGTTCATCTCGGAGCTAAAGCAGCTCGCAAGCATGCTCCTGTCTCAGTCCCTTGTCTCTTCGTCAATCAGCTCGCACACTAGTGCGTCGACCGGTAAGCCAACAAGACTCGAATTTATGAAACAGCTAGGGATCGATGGTACTTATTTGTCACCCCAAATTCTTATTGTTCTCCCATCTCCCACTCTCCATCTCATACCACTACAGAGAAGCTCCTGAGTCGACAGTAAGCTCCGCCACAGAAAGCTTGGGTTATACCCAACCGTAGCATCGAGAATCGATGTTCTCTTGTGGTATTTTGCCTTCAAAATCCTCGTAATGAGGGTTTCTGGTCATTGTAGTAGTTTCCACAGTTGTTTTGCCAAGAGAACTTGATTAAAACCTCTAAGATCTCGAAAACCCAATACACCCTCCTTAGGAATCGTTAACTCCTCTCTCTTGAACCAATGAGCTCGTCTTTCAGTTCCTCTTTGGCCCCACCAGAAGTTGGTAATAAGGCTATGGACTTCATCAATGCCTCCATCCGGAACTTTAAAAATTGACATGGCATAGGTAAGTTGAGCTTGAGTTACCGATTTAATTAGAACCTCTCTAGCTGCAGCAGACATGGTCTTTTCCTTCCAACCTTTTAACTTTTTCGGATCCTGTCCATAATTCCTGCAAAGAGTTCTTTCTTGGAACGTCCTGCCATCGTCACGAACCCTAAGTACTTTTCATGCTTTTCAACAAGAGTCATTCCCAGAATTTAGGGATGGAAAACCTAACCGGGATTTAGGGTACCCGCCCAAAACTAAGCCGGTCAACTCGGGCAAAAACCACAATGACCGGATGACGGGTCGGGGACGGGGAAACCCAAATATTGCTGTGTACGGTGACGGAGCGGCGACAATTCATCACTATCCACCCCGATTGCTGATCTGTACCCGCCCAGATCGCTCAAATCTCTAGTCCCAGACTCCCAATATAGGCAGATCAGCAATCAATTCGATCCAATTAAGTTAAGAGCCATGCGAGACGGCGAGCGAGACTCCTAGGTTCTCTAAAGGTCCTTGATTTTTGCCGATTCTTCCTTCCAAATTCATCTTCGAGTAATGATCCGACGACTTAGAGAAGCAAAAATCTCTCCCGCGATTGACTTAATCCCCAAAATCAGTTCGTAATTTCATGGGGTCTGCATTCTCTACCCCGAATGCCCAATTCTTTCCCTAATCATGATGCAAGCCTTCACTCCCAGCATGTAAAAATACGGTATGGCCACCATAGCTGCCAAGCCCTCCAATTTTTGGTTCTTTATCCCTGCTCTTGCTCCCATCTACAGAAGAAATCATATATCAGCAGTAGCCAGCAACGCCAAAGTGAAAATATCAAGCAGTCGAGGTGGGTTTGTTATTATTTTGATTTTCTTTGGTTTTGCAATCTGTACCTGTAATTTTATACTCGAGCTGCAGTGTTGTACCCCTATACGACATAACGAATGCTTTGTATGTTTGTGCAGTGGCAAAGGGTAAGCATCGAGGAGACGAAGACTTGAGGTGGCCAGGTGGGTTTGTTAATCTTTCACTGTAGATTTCTTTTGTTATTTTACTTTTATAATCATATACCAAAGCTGTGGGAGTTTATCATAATAGATGGTTTGTGTGTAGTGGGAAAGGGAAAACAGTAGCACTGAAAATACGAGGTGGTTAGGTGGGGTTTTTCGTTCCAAATTTTCATTGCAGTGTTTTGTGGTTCTGTACTTTTGTTACTTGTGCAGGAGTTATCTTAATGTATGCTTTTTGTGTCTGGTATATGGTTCTGTAATTTTGTTACTTGTGTAGGAGTTATCTTAATGTATGTTTTTTGTGTCTGGTATACAGGTGATTCTACAAGTGTTCAATTGGAGCCATGTCTGATGTACCACCTTCAGTTCAAGGTCCCCAACCACAAGTTCTTGTTGCACCTGCTGTCGTGAATGGGAATGGCGGTGGAGAGGCTGTAGTTGTTGCTGCTCAACCTCATAATGGAGAAGCAGCTCCGAATCCTCAACCTCCGAATGCCCCACTTATCATTGATGAGGAGGTAATTGACAGAGCCAAACTTAAGAGTTTGGTTTGGAAACATTTCAAAAAGATTAAGGTGAATAATCTTTGGAAGGCTAAGTGTAACTACTGTGGGAAATTATGAGGAGGGGATTCTAGTAATGGCACATCTCATTTGAAAAATCATAGCTCCAGTTGTCTCCATAGGAAGATTCATGAAGGCAGTCAAAAGATTTTAGGGCCTAACTATTTGGCGAAAGGGAGAAAGGACTTACTTGCTTCTGCTTTTGATGCTAATTCTTCTAAAAAAGAACTTGCAGTAGCTATCTTAATGCAGGAATACCCCCTTTCCATGGTTGATCATCTCTATTTCAAGAGGTTTGTGTGCTCTCTTCAACCCATGTTTAGTGTTCCTGGTAGGAACACTATGAAAAAGGAGATCTTTTGTGTTTATGAGAGTGAGAGGGAAAAAATTCATAAGGTAATTGATGAGAACAAAGGAAGGATTGCTATTACAACCGATATGTGGACTGCAAGTAACCAAATGAAAGGCTATATGGCTATAACAGCGCATTATATTGACCATTCCTGGAGTTTGAGGAGTCATACGCTTAGGTAAATCAGTTCATTCTAACTTAATGCTTAAAACTCAACCTTTGGCAACTAATAGAATACTCAATTTCTGATCTTGTGTTCTTTTCTTTTGTTTGTTTATTTTTGGACAGGTTCATCTATGTTCCTGCTCCTCATTCTAGTGATAGACTTGCATCTGTCTTGGTCAATTGCATGCTCGATTGGAATATCGACTCAAAGGTATCCACTATCACCTGGGATAGTTGCAGTACAAATGATGCAATGATAGCCAAAATAAAGAAAAAAACTGGTTTTATCATATCTGCTGAGGGAGGGTGCACTTCTTCATATGTGTTGTTCTGCTCATATATTGAATTTGATAGTCAAGGATGGGTTAGATGTTGTAAAGGATGGTATTGAAAGGATCAGGGATAGTGTCTCTTATTGGTTGGCCACACCCAAGAGACTTGAATTTTTTCAAGAGACTAGTAAACAATTGTGTGTTCCATGTGAGAAAAGACTGGTTTTGGACTGCCCTACAAGATGGAATTCTACATTTCTGATGCTTGCAGTTGCTATTCCTTACAAAGACATGTTTAATAGGCTTAAACAGCGTCACCCTCACTATGATTGCTTGCCTTCCAATGATGACTGGTTGTTTGCTTCGATTGTGTGTGAGAAGCTCCAGTGTTTTACTCAAGTTTCTGATCTATTTTCGGGGTCCAAATATCGAACAACAAACTTGTTTTTTCCTCGTATTTGTAATTTGAGGATTAAAATATGTGAATGGATGTATGATCTCAACAACAATGTTCAACGTATGGTTGAATCAATGTGGGTTAAAGTTCAACAAATATTGGTTAGTGATCCAACAGATTTTGGCAGTTGCTGTTGTCTTAGACCCAAGGTATAAACTTGATATTATGGAGTGTTATGCTGAAAAGTTGGGTCTAGATGGTAGTTCATCTACAGAAATAAGAAGCATTTTGGGAGATTTGGTGGTTGAATACCGATCAAGGTTGAATGGTAACAATCATGCTGCTATGGGGAATGATCTGCCTGCAATGTCTAGTACTAAAGATCAGGGTTTTGAATTGTTTGTTAGTCAAAGGAAAAAGTTAGGACTTCATATGTTACGACTGAGTTGGATGCCTATTTGAATGAGGAAATCTCGACTCGTACACCTGATTTTGATATACTTATGGGGTGGAAGATCGGTGGACTTAAATACCCCATCTTGCAAGAGATTGCAAGAGACATTCTTGTTGTTCCTATCAATTTTGTTGCATCAGAATCTGCCTTCAGCTCTGGAGGCAGATTGTTAGATCCTCATAGGAGCAAACTGCATCAATCAACGGTTGAAGCTCTAATGTGCACGAGGACTTGGCTGTAAGATAATGGTAATTGCTATCTTTAGTTTAGTTTTAGTACATTCATTTATCATTATCTCAACTTTCTACAAGGATTTAATTCTTTGTCGCGTGTTTTTTTTTTCAACTAGAGGATAGTTGTGATGATGGTGTAGGGAATCTAGAGGGTTGCATATCTTCATTGGGTGAAACTCGCATGGTTCAAGCAGAGGCACTAACAGAATGTGAAATTCTGGAAGGTTTTTGCAATTACACTTCCTTAATTGTCTTATATTAGCTTTAGTAGTGATCTGAGTTTAGTGTTACTAACAATTACATCACTTGTGCGTTTATAATGTAAACAATTCTCCAAGGAACAAGTCATAAAACCTAGATGATGTGGACTAGCTTCTAGGTGCAGGATGCTGCGGTTTAGTGGTGAGTTGTTTGAGAAGAATGGCTTTAAGTTGCTGTTGAGTTTCTGGTGTGTTTTAATTGCTAAAACTAAAGAACTGTGGAATTCATTCTGCTGCTGCTGTGGATTCATTTTGTTGGTTTGAGAAGAATTCATTTTGTTGATATAATGGCTCTTTGCAGGTCTGATGTTGTCTGGGCCATTCTGTGATGCTGTTGAGTTCATTTTGTTGCTGCTGTCGATTTCATTTTGTTGTTGCTGGGTGTCTTTCTTTTGCTGCTGAGTTGAGAGGAAGGTTGCAAACTGTTGTTGCCTTGCTGGCTGGCATTTTTCTGCTGCTGAAGAGTGAAGAATGGTGTTGGCGTTCCGTTGCTACTAAAGACTGGAGCTGGGTTGCTGTTGCTGCACTTCTGAAGGATGATACTGCTGGTGAAGAGGGAAGTAATGAGCTGCATAAGATTGTTGCTGCTGAAGGATAATGCTGATGGTGTTCTTTTGTTTGCATTTGATTTGCTTTTGTTTACCAACTTAGTCGTGATTGGGAATGGATGTTAGTTTGGATTGAAATCAGACTTTGCTTTTGAGTTTCTCCCGTTCAGCAGCTTAGTCTGCGGATTGGGATTGAATGTTAGTTGAATTGAATATTTGGATTTTCTATGCTATGCTTTCAAAGTAGTTTATTTTCATCTCTAACACTTCTGCAATATTTTCTTCAAAGTGGTCATAGGATTTATTAAAATATTCCAGTATTCATTTAGAGTTTAAATGAATGTTAATTCTTGTTGTTGTTTCATTGCTTGGTAATTCAGTTTATTCATCTTATTTGGATTGGATGCTAATCCAAAGTTATTTCCCATTAAACTTTAGTCTCAGTTCTCTAGTTTTCATAAATAATACCACTGCTGCCACTTTCATTTTTTTATTTGGTTGAAGTCAAACTATAGCTGCTGACCGGGTATGTTATATTTCGGGTTTACCCGGAACCCGGGGACGAGCGGGTGGCGGTGCATTTTTCCTCCCCGACGGCCGGCAGTGCGGGTGGTATTGTCAACCCGTTAAGGACTAACGGGCGGGGTATGGATGTGGGGAAACCACCCCCGATCCACCCCGTTGCCAACCATACCAGAATTCCATTGTTTTCAAGCCTATTATGCGGTTTTGTATTGTGGCTGAATGACACTGCAGACTTCTGGAAATTAACAAGCTGACCTGATTCTTTCTCATAATCCTTCAAAATCCGCTTAAGTTCATAACTTTCTTGCTTGGTGGCACGAGTAAAGAAAATGATGTCATCTGCAAAAAACAGGTGAGAGATAAAGGGTTCCCCCAAAGCCGGCTGAATCCCATGAATCCTCTTCTCCTTAACTGCAAGTTCCGAATAAGCTAATAACCCTTATGCACAAAGAAAGAACAGATAGGGGGACAGAGGATCTCCCTGTCGTAATCCCCTGGTCGGAATTATAGTATCAGATTGATGGCAATTTACTAATACTAAGTATGTCATCGTTTGCACACATTTCATGATCACAGTTACCCAAGCATCAGCAAACCCCATCCTCCGCATAACTCATTCCATAAAGTTCCATTTGACTAGATCGTATGCCTTGGCCATATCAATCTTAGCCGCCAGGTATCCAATCCGACCCTTTTTTCCTGTGCTTCATCGAATGGAAGCATTCGAATGCCGCCATAATGTTATCTGAGATAGCACGACCCGGAACAAAAGCTTGTGAGAGGAATATGGGCGAAGGAAAGGGAAGCAAAGACAGCCGAACACACGTAGCTTACGATAGTCAGGGTTAGAGTGAAATAATATGGAGTGGGAAGATTGATGGGACAAGAGAGAAGTGGGGAGTTTATTGATGAGATAGACAGCCGTACATAACAAATATGTCCAACAAAGAGCCGGGATTGAGACTTGATGCAATAGGGAGAGGCCGATTTCAACTATGTGACGATGGCGGCGTTCAGATATGTCGTTATGTTGAGGAGTGTGAGGGGGAGTGGTGAGGTGAGTGATGCCATGAATAGGGAGGAGGGAGTTTAGTTTGTCATATTCACCCGAGCCGACGATGTCAGACGTCGCCTGAGACACGAACACTAACCAGAGCACGAGGGATGACTTTATTGGGAGGGAAACTGAGAAATTCGTAGACGCAATGTCTAGCGCGCCCCCGAAGAAAAGGAGTCCTGGACGGTTGTGATTTGACAACAAACGAGGTAGGAAATAATTCAACCAAGCTTGGTTAGAGGCACAAAATTGGAGGCGGAAATAAGATTTTGTGATATCAATGGTGAGCAAAGGACATTATGAAGGGCAAAGTTACGGGTGTGAAGGATAATGACATGGAACGAGTGTGAGATATAGGCAAACCTGTTCCGTCACCAATGGCGATGGTGTCGGGGTCAGCGTACTTCTCCGAGAGAGCTAGATTGGCGAAGCCGTCGGTGACGTGGTGAGAGGTCGCCGAGTCAAGGAGCCAGGAGGGAGTGCTGGTCGTAGCATGGGCTTGCGGCTGATTGGGACGGAGTTCCGGGTGGATTCGGTAGCACGTCTTCGCTGTATGACCCATGCGCTGACAATATTGACATATGAGTCGGTCGAAAGACGACGGTGTTGCAAATGATGAGGTTGGTCGTGGTCCCGTGTGCAGGGGGCCAAGAATAGAGGCAGGACGAGGGTTGGTGCATTGTCGTTGGTGGCCGCCAGGAGAGCCTCGTGGCTGTCGAGCAGTGGAGTGAGCGAGGGGTGAGTGAGACATGGCGGCAGAGCACTGTAGGTAATCATCATAGCTGGCCAGCTTATCATAGAGCTCATTGAAGGTAGGTGGAGTGTCACGACTGAGGGTAGCAACAATCTCCTTGAAATTCGAACCAATTCCGTGGAGGGTGTGAATAACAAGATCCATGTCGTGACAGGATCGCTGATGAGAGCGAGCTCACTGGCGGTCGCCTTAATGGACAAGAGGTATTCTGGAACAAATTGATTGCCATGGGAGGCAGCAGAAAGTTGTTCACAGAGATGCATGGGGCGAGAGTGGGAGCGGTTGGCATATATACGTTCCAGATTGCTCTAGGCTTCGCTGGAGGTGAGGGCAACATCAATGTGGGGCATGAGAGTTTCGCCGATGGAGTCCAAAATGGCATGAAAGATGAGGCGGTCTTGACGATTCCAGTGCTTGTATGTAGGCTTCAGACGTCTTGTCTGCCGGAGGAACGCCAGTGCCGTCGATGTGGGATAAGATATCATATCCAAAGAGCAATGATGTGAATTGGGACTTCCAAGAGGAGTAGTTGGGGCTAGTGATTCGGACTGTGAATTGAGAGCCCACGTTGAAGGAAGTAAGAGGTGGATTGGAAGCGCTGCCGGAGAAATTAGGATTTGGCGTCGATGAGATGGTGGAAGACATTGTGGAAGAGAAAGAGGGAAAATAAGATTTTGCAAAGGTTTTGACAGGGATGGAGAGTCGTGGAATAGAAGAGAGACCTTGTTAGAGGATTAATAGGGATGCTTTGATACCATATAGAATAACGGAGGAGAAAGACTTGATCTTGATTATTAGCTTTGGAAAGAATATATACAGAGACGTAAACATGGATCGTGCAACGGTAATTAACAAAACATGAGAGAATACAGAAAGGTGGGTGTACGTAGTTGGGCTAGTTGTGTTGACGAGGTAAAGGCGGTGGGTTGTTACTCTTAACAGTACCAATGTACCATCACAGATTTTAGTTGATTTCTAGAAAGACCATTTTACTTGGATTTTGAAGGCTACATATCACATATTCAGACTATGGCTATTATTCACCGTAAATTAAGTCTATTAAGCACCAATTTGGACGGATTTTTTTGGGACCAATTCTGGCAGATTCCAAAGGGGCACCATCACTGATTTCAGGAGATTTTTGAAAAGATTATTTTCCTTAGGTTTTGAAGGCTACATATCATGGACTCGGGTTGGCGCTATTCTCCACCAATGATAAAGTCTATTGGTTGTCGATTTGGGTGGAAAATTTTCGGAGAGCCTTTTCGTAATTTTTTGACGATTTTTTGGAAAAGCTATTCTTCTTGAATTTTGAAGGATACAGATCACGGATTTGGTCTGAGTAGGGATGACAATGGGCTGGGTTAGGCTGAGTTTTATCAAACCGACCCCAAACCCATGGGTATATCCACCGAAAAAACTGGGGTAAAATTCATTGGGTTTGAAAAACTCAAACCCAACCCGCTAGGTATCCGCAGGTTCATGGATACCCATGGGTTCTATAAAAGTACAATAACATCCTGTCAAAATATAAGTCTAACATCAACCTTCTCATACAAATTATTCGTACAAAAAACACCAATCTAAAGCATACAAGCAAACCACATATTATCCATTAAAATTATGCAATATTGAAGATAAACATTCATAAACAACATAATTAATTGTAAGCTTCTTCCTCCTTGTCAGCTAAGCATTTTCACTCTCCACTTCTTAATATCAACTTCATTCTACAAAATAGGAAGAACAAATTAGACGGGTAGGTAGGATATGGTTAAACTCGAACTCAATCCAACCCGCCAAATTAATAGTAGAATGGGTTTAAACCCGAATACAATTCACAATCCATCAAAATGAATTTTATCTAATTTGACCGGATTGAGTCGAGTAGGATATCCATGGATGGGATTATGTTGCCATCCCTACCATAAATATAACTTGGGAGCTGAGAGATAGATGTCCCAAAATCGATGCCCGCCCGCACATCGCAAAGTCCCAACCCCACTTCTTTTCAGAAGACTCCTAATTTCCCCTGCCATGCCCATGACCAATGATCTTGTCCTCCAATTTCTGGGCTCAAATATTATTGTAACTAGTCTCCTTCTTACTTACTACCACTTCCCTTTTACGTACTTTTGTACTTTGGTCGGCTTATCCTCAATTTCTATGACTATATAATATCATTATTCACTACCCTTTTCGACTCTATCAGTACTGTTTCTACTTTCAGGTATGGTATGGACTCTCTCTCTCTGTCTGTGGTAGTGGGTTAACGTTGAAATAGTGTTGATATTCTTGTTGTTGCATGTTAGTAGTTTTCATTATCCTTTCTCTGCATTATACGCCTTTAGTGGAAGACAAAGGTCAAATGCTTTATTGGGATGGATGGGGGCATCATCAGCTTTTCTCTGTTTCCACCTGTTCGTGTGGGAGCTCAGTTTTTGCAGGACTGCCCATTCTTCCAACAACTAAGACGCTGCTACCCATAATCCCATCAAAGCTGATGAGAACATATGTTGCCCCTCAACGGATCTGTCCCTTTTGGAGTCTCTTTCTTGTTCCTGTTTTTGTTTATCAATTTCCTTGTGTTAATAATGCTTAACCCAAAGGACCGATTGTAGTATTGCATTAACCAAGGTTTGGGCTACGTTGTATCATTTTTAGTAATACAACACATGTTGTTGCATGTTTGGATTTATGTTTTGAGTATAGTA